GTTGAGTTGCTGTGCAGGTACCATGTGCACAGTGGGCTCTGTCCCCAGGCAGAAAGGAGGAAATCAGAGTATTTAAATTACCTTTTCCTGCTCCAGAGTTTGACAGAGGGATAGTTTAGCTTCTCTGAAAGTGGCGGAGTGATGGCAACTAAGGGGCCCTCAGGGCTATGGATSGGGAGAGCAGATGGGGAAACGATGCCTCCATAGCAAGCCTGCGGTGGAAGTGGAGATGAGAAGGTTGCTGGAAAGAGCAARAAGCAGATCCTGCAATAAGCATTCAGGGCTATGGAAAGTGAGAATTTGCTCTGAGGAAAGACTTCACTTTGCTGGTTTGAGAACAAGGCTGGAGGGGAAACTCCTGCCCTGTAGGGAGCAGCAGCTAGATTCATTATCATATATTTTTGCTTTCACACAGTTCTTTTACTCTTCCATGCAAGAGATGAGTTTGCTGTCCTTCAGAACTTATGCAATTATAATTTAAGCTCTAATAAAACAGTTTTACATACTGAAAGCCCTTTTGGTAGCCTCACCTTCAAGTTAAAGGTCTGTTTCAAAGCTCTTGCTTGTAGATTCCCATCACATCATCTTTCAATGACTTTAGGCAGTGTTGTTTTCCTACTCATCTTTCTGGCCCAGCCTCAGGATTTTGCCCTGGGTATTCACACCTGGACTATGACTAAGTTTTTTAAACTTTTTTTAGATTGTCTCTTATCCGGTCAATTAAAACTTTCATACGGACTGTTTCCACCTTACATTTCTGTTAGTACAATATCCTTGTTGATGCACATGATCTTATATTTTGGAAAGCTGGTCCAAATACTTCTGCTGTGATAATTTATCACTTTTACCAGACTGCCCTAATACTTTATTTTTAAATTTAATTTTTGAAAATTGTCTTAGCTCACTGTTGTCTTTGCAAAACATATAAGCCTTGAAAATGAAGGCTAAAAGCTTGTCAGGAGAGCCTTAATCTGTGGTGGAGCAACCAAGAGACTGGCTCCACACCTSATTTGCTTATGATATCAGACTTGACTAGTGCCATATTCAATTTTCAGATGGATAAATGTGCTGTGTCCCAAGCTTCCCATCACAGAAAGCAATCTCATTGCCTTTCTCAGTACTTGCCTTTGAAATTTGGGTTGTGATGATGCTTGCAGACATCTGAGTGAATACTTTGAGCCCACTGTCTTGGTGGCTAATATTSTCACCTTGTTCTCTTCTATTTCTTAATCTGTCAGGACTCCAGTGCTGGGCTGTGTTTCAATGGTATCCGTCCAAGTTTCTGGAAGACAGCTCTTAATTGTCTGACAGAGAGCAGAGCTGGATCCTTRCAGATGTTTAGCTAAGATCTCTCTCTTTTTGCTAAAGCATGATGGACTTTTCTAGCATGATATAAAGTAATCCCAAATAAATAAAAAAAAAAATCCCTAATATTAAGCTCTACAGACTTCCAGGGTAGCTTCCATGGCAGGTCTAAATCCTGTGGTGAAATTCAGCTAGCAATAATGGTGTGAATCGTCTCAGCCAGAATTCTTCTTGTCTCAGAGAAAAAGACAAGTACCATTGGTAGTAAAGTTTTTTCAGGTGATGAAGGAAAAGGCACTGGTGACAACAGCTCTCTGCTTTCTGAATGCCAAACAGCAATTGGGAAAGAAGTGTGAGTGAGAAGGGGAGAGAATGTGAGAAGAAAGGGTGATTTTTTTTTATTTCTTAGTATTTACTGATCACAGGTTTTCTATGTGTATATTTTTGAAGTAAATTTTCTTTACAATCAGATCTCATCTGTCATTTCCTTTAGGCTGCTCCTTCCTACTCTCCCTGTTAGGTAATTGGAATTTATTAGGCAGTTGGAATTTATTTGGGAGGAAAAAAATATCTTCAATTAAACTTCTGGTGTTTGCATTAGATGTACTAAGTGAGAYAAATAAGAGGCAAAGTGCTGCCCACAGGTAATTCTTCAAATATCTGATTTTGGGTAGGACTTTCATGTAACTGATAGCTCTTAAGAGACAAAACTTTCCAGAGCTCTTTGAAAATGAGTGGTGAGGGGAGTGAGTGGGAAAGTGAAGCCTTGGGGTCATTTTGTGCAGAGTCCCTGCGTGGAAACTCCCCTGGAAGGACTGACTGTAGAAGCAACTGTATTGTCACTCTTTTGAGGCAGGAATGAAGAGGTGCTTGTTTGTGTTGACAATCAACATTTGGCCTCTTTTTGTTCTTGCTTTATAATTTATACTCTATATTAGAAACGAGTGTTCAGTGTAGTGTGTGTAGTGTACACATCTCTACAAAAGGATTGAATAAATAATAATCTAACACCCCTAAAAACATAGAATTTTTGTTATATGTATCTGTGGTGAATCAGATTGCTTTCACAAGATACCAAGAGGATGTCTTTGCGGTTTTTTAAGTGTCTCACTGTAGCTGGGACTCTTATCACCRTGGCTTGGGGGCTTTAGATAGATACATGGAAAACATGAAAAGCTGGTCATAAAATCTGGAATAACTATTTTACCTCATTTAACTATTTTACCTCTTTTCAACTTACTCATACAGCCGTGCTTGTATTTTGATGTCATTACTTAAACCAGATAATTATGTGTGACTATTGTTTCATTCATTTGGGTTTTTTTTTTTTCCAGTTAAAGGATTTTCTCAAAATACAAGAGACTTGGATTTGTGGAGAATTTGGCCTTCTGGGTTGCTTTAAAATTATGCCCTYTGTTCCACAACATACAGGAAAACAGGAACTTAGAGAATTAAAACATACTGATAAATTTATCATTTTCATTAAAACTGCTTAAAGTCATGCTGAAGCTGAAAAAATGCATGTTTAAGTCTAATTTAATTTTAAGGTATGCAGTTAATTAATAGTCTACGTCCATTAACATTAAAAACTGAAAGTATCTGCAGGACCACTACTCCCTGGAGTAATTTGTCACCAGAAATAAAATGTCTGCCTTTGAACTGAAGTAGCTTTTGGGTAGTGCTGGGAGCAAAGGAACCAATGTTAATGATAGAGACTAATCCAAAAGAGTGAACTTCCAAGTTTGTTACATTGATATCTCACAATTATAAAACCAATTCTAGTTATGTAAGATACTGTTGTGACAGCAAATGCCTTCTTTGCTAAGTGACAGAAACTAACATCAATTTTAAAATACTGACTAGAGCGTGATAAGTTTGTGTGCCCGCTTGTGCGTCCCAAATTAGAAAATGTTCACAGCATCTTTCTTGATAAAAAAAGCATTTTCTGTTTACATGGGATTTTGGTCTTTATACTGTGAACTCTCTTTCCAAACAYTGAATACATGTTAGAAAAGAAACAGCAAAGATGTGATGAGATGCACAGCAAATGCAGAACCATGTACTTCTTTTCCCCACTTCCTTGTTTCCTTCCTCCTTCTATTCCTCTACCTCTAGTAAAGGAAAAAATACCTTTTGCATTATTGGCTTCAGTCTTGCAGCACTTACTATAAGGTGTGGCATTCTCACTAGAGCTATTTTTGCTTATAAACCCTGTTTAATGCAGTAAGTGAGGATTTGGGTCAGCGGATTGCAATCATTGTCGGGCAGTGTTTGCTAAGCATATTCTAGGGGTGCAAACATGCCAGCTGAATTTTTTTGTTCACTGTACAGTTTTTGTGCATCAGAATCCCATGATACAATGATGGGTCTCTTCATTATTCCCCCCAAAAGACTATTACTAAAGAAAATATTTGAGGTTTTTTTTTCAGGACTTACTGTTCTTCTGTGCTGCCATAGCCTTAATAAAGCCAGTGTTAAATAACTGCTTGGCTGGACAGAGGAGCTATGATTTTTAGACACTTAATTTGTTTGAGTTCAAAAGGATGATTTGACTTCTGATCATGTGAATAGCATTTTATAGCATACTGGAAAGCTGTCTGGTTTTGTATCTAAAAGACTTGACAGCATGGTTGGCAACAGACGGATAATGGAAGGCTGATGAATAATGAAAAGCTGAGTGATTGAAAGCAGAGCTGCAGGGAGAGAAGAGGGAAAGCTTGGAAGAAAAATGGGAAAAACAAGCATTACAGAAGTAAGGAATAACCAGTATTTTGATCAGTATCAGAGAATGTCTTCAAAKCAGAATTTAACCCAGTCATAACTTAAGCGTTCTCCATCTGCCAGCTCACAAAAGCTCTTAACTCGTGCACCAAGACGCATTTTGTACAAGGCACTCATTTTGCCTTGAGGAAGCGTAGGTTGAAATTAAAATATTTTTCAACTGCTAGGATGATGACTACTCTGCAGTAACCTTCTCAATTCCCATTAAATGTCTGATGCATTCACAAATTCCTACCTGAGCAGGAGTGCTTAGTGTCTCACAACCTGCTGCAAAAACCAGATCAGAGCTATTTCACCATAGCATTGGTAGCTATCAGATGTACAGAGGGACATTGCAACACTTAGTTTGTATTTATGCTTTTGTGAAGACATCTCTATTTCTGTATTTTTAACTCCGTTTGCATGGTGCTCACTCTTCAGATACCCAGCAGGGAGGAAGAGCTCTTACTACTAAACTGGTCTCTCCAGATAGAATATGGTCTCTAGGGTGACTGTGCCTTAAGGATTCCTCTGCAARTGTTACAAGAATTTCCGGGGCTAGCACTTAACTCCAGGTTTCAAAAGTGCAAAGATGGTCTTGTGATGTTAAAGGAGGGTGGCTCTCTGGCATTTTGATGTGTGATGTTTGTGTCTGAGTGTGTGCGTTAACATGGAGGAAGCCAACTCCTACTAATTTCCGCACATGGCCAGCTGTGGCTGATCTTGGTGGTGCAAAGCTTGCTCATGGCAAAAGTTACAGAATAGGAGCTGAGTTAGCACTGTTTCTGCTGCCCCTTTTTGTGTCTCTTTTTCGCAATGACAAATGGAGAAAGATCTGCTACTTTCTTGTTATAGCTTACTGCTTTTCCTGAGCTCTGATATCACTGCAAAATGAATAATGCTGTAAATACTATCCTTTCTTTGTTTCTTCATAGAATCTGTACCAAAACAGGTTCCTGGGCCTGGCAGCCATGGCATCTCCGTCTAGGAACTCACAAAATCGGCGCCGGTGCAAAGAGCCTCTCAGATACAGCTATAACCCTGATCAGTTCCATAACGTGGACATCAGGAACAATTCCCATGAGACGGTCACCATTCCTAGGTCTACCAGTGACACAGACCTTGTCACTTCAGACAGCCGGTCCACCCTGATGGTCAGCAGCTCCTACTACTCCATCGGGCATTCGCAGGACCTAGTGATATACTGGGATATAAAAGAGGAAGTGGATGCAGGGGACTGGATTGGCATGTATCTCATAGGTAAGTCTCTGAAATGTAGTCTTAACATGGGTTTATATATTACAAGAATTTTTTCTGCTCCTGAGTTGCTAGTTGCAGTTCTTGTGCTCACTTTTTCTTCAGCAAAGATACCAGAAGGTTTTATGTTGATGATTTCTTGACATTTCAAGATAAATTCATTTTAAAGTCATTTGGATGTTGGGAAAATACCTCCTATATCAAGACAGTATAATATTTTCAGGGTTTCCTCTTGAGAGTCCTTGAGTAATCTGTGACAGATGAGAGGTTTTACAAGTCAAGAATATGAGTCATTTAAAAACCTTGTGAGATTGCCTTTTTCTCTATAGCCACATGATATTTTTATATGAGCAATAATTATAGACTGAGACAGTCTGGACTTATCCCAGAAAGTTTTGCTTTTTTTTTCCTTTTATTGTGTATTGGAAGTGATATTGAGCCATGTATATTAGCATATTTTTGGCAACTCCATCTAGTAAACCCAGCCCCACATAAGAGYACTAAGAAATGGTTTCAAGCCTCTTTTATCTGATTATTTCACTTCTTTTTTTAACCTGGTTTGGTTCCTATGGAAATAGTCCTGCTGCCAAGACTGGAGTTTTTGTTAACTCTTTGCTCTCTGGTAAATCTTGAACATGGTGAATCAGTTTCAGATAYATTTCTCTGGATATTAGGGGTCTTACAAAGTTCTTAAATATTTCTTGAAAACCTGTGACTTTGTAAAGAAATTGTGCCCCACAAAGGGAAATATTGGTAAATCACTTCCCTTCTCTATTTGGAAGGTATGCCTAGCACTAAGCAGATGTTTTYGCTCTATTAACACTGTTTCATCTTGCCCTGATGGTGAACCAAAACCAGACAAAGGATTTGATGTTGTGATATGGGCTTTTGGAGCAGGCTGTTATTTAAGTGCTTTAGTAGGTGAAACCAAGTGGCTTGGAATCACATACCGAAAAAAAAAATAGGAACACAGGTGTTGGTGACATAGGGATATTTGAGAAAGTGCTGGATAGTAGGTCTGAGCATGTAGAAAAACTATGCTGGCMAGGTATTAGGAATTGAAAAATAAGTTCAGGATATTGAAGAGATTGTATAAAGGGCTACACAAGGGTGGCTATTTAGGACCTAGAGGGAAAGGAGTAGAGGCTACAGTAAGCCAAGCTACAGTACTTGTTCCTGTGAGTAACCTCATAAAATGTCTTGCTTTGAAAATAAAACTTCTGAATATAGGCGTCTGAAATTTTAGTCTTTGAAAATAAAACTTCTGAATATAGGCTTCTGAAATTTTAATCTTTTAGGAAATAAACAGAGACTGGATTTAAAAGAGTTGCCTTGAAATCAGTCTGGTTTGTTGGCCTTTACAGAAAATTACTTGTGTTTACAGTTAAGTTTGAAGTGGAGTTTTTTTACTGGAATAGATGAGAAGACACAGCAGCCCCCCATACTGGGCACTAAGAAATACTGTAAGCCTATTCTGCAGCAGTGCAGGCAACTCATGAATTGTTGCCTCAGCAGATAGAGGCAGAGCTTTCCTTCTGGTAGACCAAAGTCAACAGAAAGTGCATAGGGCTGATTCACGCTGACTGAACTTGTTCAGCCAGGTTTCACCGCTCAGACATTGCATCCAGGGCTATGAAGACATGCTAATTTTTTTTTTTTTTATCAGCAGCATGATTACATAGAGATTTAACCGGGCAAAATAAGAACACACCGTGGTTCTCCTGCTTAATTTACCATATCAAACAGATACATTGCCCCAGACACCCGAGTAGATTACAKGTGCAAGTGTATGCTTGCCCCTGCTGACTGAATGCCTGTTGTTTATGACAATAATCAATGGCTTGTTCCAAGGAGCGCTGCTACCAGATGAAAAATGAGTAGTGTGTCCAGTCCCCAGTAAACCAATGGCTGACCCTTGATGTCTTTGAAGGYTTTTTGTCATCAGCTTCTCAGGTTTCCACTCTAAATAACTGAGGAAATAGCAGAYAGCAGCATCCCTCATTCCCTTTTTACTTTCCCCTTCCCCTCTCCTACTCCTGCCCCCCCTGCAAATCTCATGTAAGATGTGCTTTGGTTTTAGTTCCCTTTAAAGAACATGGAAGACTGTGAAGATCACTTGGGTTTTAGTGTTAGTTTGACATGGAAAACACTCMGAATCTACGAAGGTAACTGGTGCTGTGGCTGTATCCATGTTTATGAAGTAGGATGAACCAGTAGTACTGGGTCTGTAGAAGCAAACATCTGATGAAAGCGGTTTTCAGAGGCTTGAGGCACTTGACATAGAAYAGTTWCAGTCTGGCAAACTGAATGCCCTTRAGTTGCTATAGTACATCTTTCAGTTTAGTTTCTTCAGGACAGAATCGAGTTCATGTGGCTATATGACAGCATGGTCTCATGGTGACAAAGTAGGGACAGTTGGAAGGGTCAGTAAAAAGTACCCTTCTGACCTGAAATAAAACACTTGTGCCTTCTGTTTGTGACCAGTCCATAGGGATGGGAGATCCAGGCATCCCTAATGGCTTAGATTTGTTTCTGCATTTGCACAGGTTTTATGACTCCTGTTCAGAGAGGGAATATTCCTGGCCTTGTGGGTATGACCTTCACAATGTAAACTGATCTATAACTATGTTTTGAGTTACCAGCCAGACTGGAACAAGAGAACCAAAGAAACTGAGCTTTTTTTTCAGTTTGCTCAGGAGAGGATTAGTGTTGAAGCCTGTTRTTATCACTTGAATGGCATCTCTGTTAACTATTGTGATGCTGCTGGTCACCCTAGTGTTTGTCTTAATCCAGTTTATGGATATAGCCCAGTCCTTTCTGTGATTGTTTGGGTTGGTGAAWTTGGAGCTGAAAGGTTTGAATGTAGTGTTGTATAGTATTGTGGAGAGTCATGAGAACATGGGAAATTATTTAGATCCTTAGGGTATCTGCAGTGTGTTGTGAATTTTCTTTAAGCTTTGGTGTTGGGAGTGTTGGAGTTGGTATTTGTTATTTGTCTGGTGGGAGTATCCCAGGAAGGGACTATACAGAAGCAGAACATTGTAGGAGCTTAATCATTGCCACTGTAGTATTCTAGGAAATATCTTCAAACAATTCTATATGAGGTTTGGTTTTTGAAATGCGTAAAATTTACTCTGTTTTCATCACCTCTACTATCACTAAAAATGTGATTATACCAAACCTGCCGACTTCAGAATAATTCCAAGTATTCCAAGTTTGGAGAAGTAGAGATGATATAAAATGTTTCAAAAAAGAAAAAAAAGAGCAAAAATTATGTAGCTCATATGTTTCATACTGTGGGATGTTTTGGGGTACTATTCTAAAGTTAAAGTAGCCTAAAAAGAGGAATTGAGGGAGTCCTCTGTGGGTGGAAATTTTGTCCGCTTGCTCCTCATGTGAAGAGCCACAGGTCCTTTTATCACAATATACCTGGTTTTCTCCCCTTCAGTCCATTTTTGCATTCCTTAAGGTAGCCAGCTGGGAAACAAAGGAGTCTTTGCAGAAGCAGGTGAGAGCTAGATTTAGCACTGATAAGTAACAATTGCTCATGGTCTCAGGAAATGGACTAGGCAGCCAGTCAGTCTCATAAAATAGTGTAAAAATGGTGATCATGTGTCTCATGGGAAAAAAAAAAAAACAGTATTACCCTGAAGCTTCCTGAAAACATCCATGCACATATACATGATTTTGATGAAGGGCCACAGAAAAACTCTTTAGTTGAAGGGAGAATAGTAAATGTTGACTCTCTTAAAATATAGATGTTATTACTTCAGTGCATTTTAAGATTAGCTTTGGAAAGATGACAAAAAAAATTGGGAAAACAAGCATTTCTGAGTGTTTAAGACATACTGTGCCTTCCRGAATAGGAATTACATTTCATTCCTGCTAAGCCTGAACTCTAGAGATGTTCTAATTTCCCCTCATATATATTGTCAGCTCTGAGCAATGCAGAGGAACCTTTCTCTTCTCTAACAACTCATCTGAAATGTGCATTTATCTTCCCTCAAGAGAACTATAGTCTTATGAACATTCAGCAGTTTTTCAGAAACAGATCCACAATCAAAAACATGTGTAAAAACTCAAAAAGTTCTCTAAGAAATTTGAACATAACAAAGCTCTATTGCTATTTTAAAGTGTCTGGCATGTTAAGTTTTTTTTGCAGAAAAGGTATTTGTAAAGAAAAGGCCCACTGGGGAAAAAAAAGAAATTTAAACGAAGTTATGAATAATGAAGAGAGGATATCTTTTTTTAAGTAAGGACTCTCATTTAGTGGCTACTGTGAGGCAGCTGTAGTTGTTTATCTCACTGCTCTCTCTTTCTCTCTTATTTCATTTGCTATTGCTGTTTTCTGTAGTATGAAGCTCCTTTAGATAAATTAATRTGAACTGCTGGCAGCTGCCTGTAGATAAAGAGCTATCTTATAATTACTGCAGTGGCATTTAGCTGCTACAAGATTTCACTTCTGTCATCACCTCCATATCTGATGTAAAGGAGCTAATGGGAAATGTTTAAAGCAGACTTTTGAAAACATCATTTGCTCCGATGTCTGTGCACACTAATGTTAGGGGCTTATCAGGGCTAACATACTTTTTTTAACCCAGRTGAAGTAGGCTTGCTTTCTTTCAACATTTCCTTATATGAAAGCAAAACATTATTAAAGGCTATGTATTAAAAATTTCCTCATACACRAATCTTGTAGGGTCCAATTTCTTGTCCATATTGGGCTTTTTTGAGAGTAATTTCTCTCAAATTTATATAAGTAGAAATGTCTTCACCTGATTAGTGACTGGAGTTTAGCTTTAAAACTTTTTTCCTCCTGTTTCATCCTGTGGTATTATTTCTCCCCCAAAAAGGCAGTTCACCACAACCTGAAAAATCTTATAGCTATTGGTTAGTAGACATTTAAACATTTGTTTAAACACTCTTCAGCATGATTTTAGACTTAGATGGCCTGTGTTGCTGTATTGACGAGTGGAAAAATGTACATTTTTCCTGCTGTCAGA